TACGTCGATAAATTAGTTTGTCTCTTAGATCTATCGGTGTAAATTTTTTCATTAGTTTTAGACGTCTACATCTATTTCGAAGTTAAACTAACTTCTTTGAAAAAGTATTTATCGCTTGGTTTAGCCGGCTGGAGCTCAGAATCTTCACGCTGCCCGTGCGATTATGGCCGAACCTTGCTCAGTTCATCAGATTTTGCTGATTTGAGGCTGCATACTCCTCTGCATTCTCCTCTGCAGTTCCCTCAACCTGCCCCACATGACTGCAGTCTACAACGAGCTCGAGCAAGACATTGGATCGGGGCTGCCATGGCTGGAGTCTTCCTCGCCTTCATCCTGCTGGCTGTTGGGCTCTTCTGAGCCACAAGATCAGCCATGCCAATTGTGACGAAAAAGTCGTCCGGCCTCGCGGCAGCTAGGACGGATTGTAAGGAACACTTTCTCTTTGTCGCCGGAATCTGTCAGTTGTAACGCAGGAAAATGTTTTCTATCAACTTTTACCCTTATTTACGTAGCCAATCAGATAACTTGAAAGTATGACGTCGATGTAACCACATTGTATATTATCATAAATATTTTATATGTGACCAACTTTCGTTTGTATAAAACAAGAATTATTGTTCGTATTTGAGAATTATTTATGCCTCTTTTAACGCCAGGGACAAAATCATCTGCCGGTCGCCGGACAGTCAGTTCCAGGCAATTCTTACCATTCTCTTATTAAATATTATCTGTGCAACCCGGTCATGTATTCCCTAATAATATCGAAAATAGCGAATGTTCTGTTAAGCTAATTATCTAGGCGTCATTTAAAATTATTATCTACTTAAAAAGACGTTGTCATATTTCCTGCACAAAAGTTCGATAACATTGTAAGCTCTTAAGATCACCTAACTTTCGATGGTGGCGTGTGTTGTAGGATGGACACGGCGCATGATGGTGGCATGTGTTGTAGGGTGGACACGACGCATGATGGTGGCACGTGTTGTAGGGTGGACACGACGCATGATGGCGGCACGTGTTGTAGGGTGGACACGACGCATGATGGCAGACCCGGCCAATTTGTCACTCTGTCACTTTGCCTCTGGTAACCGCTCCCGGACCCTCTTTTTTTCCTCCTGGACTCAGTTTTTATCGCATTTCTTCGCTGCCCTCGAGGCGGACACAATCCCTCTCGCGGGAAGCTGCAGCGTTCTTCCTTGTAGGAATTCCTTTCTCTTCCTCACTCGAATCCTTCTGTGCTTAGGACAACGTCTTTGTTAATGGTTTCCAAGTGTTGTCTTTTGAGTGAATATTTTTATGTCCATTGAGGAAAAAATTCTTTACTCGTGCACATTTGTTAAATTAATTTAAGACTTCTCTGAATTTAATCGTGCGCAAATTAAGCTATTACCTCCGGATTTTTTTTTCGCGTAACTTTCAAACATGTTCAAGATACACTTGAATAACAATTATTGAACTCTGATATAGCAGTGTAACACTCGGATTTTTCTATACTTTGGTACTTGATTAAGTCGTTGATACGATCGAGGTTGCCGTTTTCCCGGTATTTGAATATATATGTTAGTTGTCAACATATTTAATTGATGACCATTATTCGTTCTTTGATTGGTGTTATTTTTAAATGCGCTCACATTACGTTTATGTTATTTTGTACCGTATTCTATTGTACCGTATAATCAGATATAATGAACCAATTCTTATTCCCACAGCCTTTGTAGACAGAATTCTTGAACCCTTGTTAAGTAGACCGGCGAAACATACCAGTGTCGTATCATGAGATTTTATTTTTGATATAGTTTGATATTTACTGAAGAAACAATTCTGAGTACATTTAAAGCTAAATATATTTCTTTGTTCGTTATAGTTGCATGAAGCACCGCAGACGTGAGAATTTTAATAAAATTTGCTAATAATAACCTTGTTGAGACGTAACAACTGAAATTCTGGAATACGCAGTCTAATGTTATGATGCCTGTTATAACGCTTTTCAAATTTTATATTGGCTTCAAATAATCTTTTCCATTCAACCGTACAGACTCGATTATATTCTATTTCTCTAAGTTAATTTTCATTTTGTTATGAATGATTGAGGGGCTTGTGGGCCTCTGGCCTTTTGAGATATTAAGGGTTGACCCGCTGGTAAGCCTACAGAACACTGCACCATAACTGAGACATTGTACATATAGCGATGCACTTGACCTTATGACCTTATGATGAGTTTAGGACTTCATAGTCCACGGTCAAGCTGATGCTCCGCCTTCGCCGTCCTCCGTCTCCGAGTCGTCGCTAGGCAGGCCACTCTGCCTTCGGGTCCCGGATGTAACGTTGGGCGTGTTCCGTCTAATTACCCTCCTTTGGGTGAGCTGATGCAAGATTGCGCCCTTAATTATGTGGGTCAACCTTTCCAACCTCCCGATAGAATTGCGGCCGCATCGATGCTACATTATAGCCAGTGGGCAGGAGTCTGGCCCACTTGGTGGCATGCACTAAGCATTATGGCCAGTGTACAGGAGACTGCACTCAATTGCAACTCTGAGGCAGCTAACAACGCGTGCTCTATCACGAGGATCGACAGCCTCTAATTGGCTACACGGACCAGCGTCTCCTGGCGAGATGAGCTCCGTGGCTTCCTCGTCTAATGCCTGGACACCTGCAGGAGGTTGCAGGTCCTAGCCATTAAGTGTGTCATGCAGGAATATGTGTCATGCAGGAATATGTGTCATGCAGGAATATGTGTCGTGCAGGAATATGTGTCATGTCAGTTTTACCCACTACACGACGACCAAATACCCTCGTCACAACACCAGTTTCCCCTCTCCCTTGGTTTTACTCACTACACGACGGTTAACTACCATTTCACAACACAATAAATTACAAGTCGGGCGTATTGTACGGTTTTGCTTTCAAACCGACGCTTCAATTAAGAACGGCCTCCTCAAGCTGCTCACATATTTGATCTTTTCAAAAATCTTTTCACTCAACGGAAAGTCACGGAAACAATTTCCTAGAATTTTTAGTTGACTTTCCGCGGAAATATTTGGGATAAGAGAAAAGTCTCTTTGAAGAAAACTTTAGCGAAACTCGTTTGAGGTCGAAAAACAACCCGCGAATAAAGAGATCATTTGTTTTTTCCTCTCATACGCCCCAACTCTCTGGGCGCGGTTGCTGTGAAAAGTCTTGGGAATGCTAACGTCGACGATGTATAGTGTCACGCTAAACTTCAGCGAAAAAGTTATTTATACGTTCTGAACAGTTACTATTGAAGTTGGAAGAAATAAATTCATTTTAAAAAATCTCTCAGAAGGGCTCAAAATCGTTAACGATTCAAGTTGGAAAAAAGTGTTAGACCGCATCATTGCGATGTTTCATGACATTTATTTGTACGCCATCATTTAGTTTGATGAATTAATTGTAAGCGCATTAATGATAGACAACAGCAAATATTACAATTTGGAAGGTACAAAATTTCTGAAATCGAGGTTCCAATTGTCCAATAAATATTAGCAGTCACATACACGTCTTTGTGCTGTCCATTTAAAGTCGCCAGTTGAAACATAGAGCGGCTGTTGAACTATTCCTCTTAATTTTGTTTGTTTTTGATCCTAAAACCGCGGATTGAACTTCGATCAATTCATTTGCTCCTCAGTGCAGAAAAGAGACGATTCAGGCAACGATTTTCACTCCTGCAGTCGACGCCAATTAACCGAGAAGCCGCAGAGCCAAACTTTGCAGGGCGTCCATTTGCTGTCTGTGCTCTGGTGCAAACTCTACGGAAGCTCGACACAACATTTCGCAAGTTTTTGTCCCGTGTCTGCGTGGTCTGTCTTCCAATCCTTATATAGTAGCTAGCAGCTCAGAAAAATTAGTTTATAGTTTTCTATTTTTTATAAATTCTAGACTTTAGACCAATTTATGTATTTAAAATTGGACCGATGTTTGCAGTTGACGAGATTTATGCATCTTTGATCAGATTGCGGCAAAGCCGTTATGCGCGTTCATATTTTGAACATTCAGTAAATAGACTTCATCTGTACAGTGCATAATAGATGGTACCTAACTTCAAATAAATATTCCCCTAATTATCCTACTAAATGGACTTTGCATCTATATATATATGGCCTCATTAATCATGTTACATCAATTAAGTTGGCAATTGGAAGCATTTCATACAATGCACATATACAGCCGATAGCTACATTATTCAGAATAATATTTTGCAATTCATTAGGAAGCGAGACCACCATTCTCACCGAACTAAGTATTTCTACGTAGAGAATCTATTAACTAGTACGCCGAGCATTAGAAGAGCTGCACTTACTATCCTCGTCTTAGATACGAACAAGACTTCCGCAAAACCCTAAATGGCAACGAAAATTTATTGCACCCAAACTTTCGATGTTGCTTCCCATTCTTGACCGTAGACTTCAGTGAGAGCTTGGGCTGGAAATAAGAGTAGCTTGTTTCCGGCGCATTTAGGAAATATCCTGAAGAGTGAGACCGTGAAGCCAACAACACATATTTCTTGGTGTCTCAGCAACTTCCTGTGACCTCAAGTCTCATTGCTGCCTTGTTCCTTTGGTCTGCCAGGATCGTACCATGAGAAGTCCAGCTCAAGGAAGAGATTCTTCCTTCTTTTCAGGCACATTTAAGGCTATCTTCGAGACGTGGTCAAGCCTGCCTGTCTCAAGCAATGAGTATTTTTCAATGCTCGCTGAGCTCACTGCTGCTCACGCAAAAGTAAACAAATTTCACTGCAAGACTTTGACTTGCGATGGAATGAAGGTAGGAGAGACTATACGGAAAACTTAATCAGATTTCACGGGTAAATTCGATCTCTCGTCGCTTAACGTCGCATGCATTTGTATAGTGGTGATCTAAAATCTAAATAAATTACGCTCCTCTTCTATTGAGATCCTTTCCGTCATTCTGGGTAAGAACTATGTTAGCGCGTCAAGCAAATAATTGTAAAATGGCAATTAACATTAACTTTAAAAGGTATTTTTTATTTGATTAATAGACCTCTACATTCATCACTTATTCAATTAACAACTAATCGCTTGCCATTAAAAGTTATCCTAGCATCTATCTAAACTCTCCTATGTCATCAAACGTATTTCCAGAAGACCAAACATTTAATATATTAAAAGGAGCCCGCACTGAAACTAAAATAAAAGATTATTTGGGTTCCTGAGCGCGCGCATGCCACCACTCTCCGTGGATTGAGATTAAGACTAAGATAAATTGATAGAGTAAAATAATATCTGAAGTGATTACATAACTTTGCCCTGCAATGAATGAAGCCATCATGCAATGACTAAAGCCATCGTGCATTGACTGAAGCCGTGCACTCATTGCCTGTCATCAAGGAAGTCCCTGATCGTGAGGTCGTGCCGGGCGTCGAGACACTGGCCCTGCTGCTGCCACGCCGCCATGTTGGGGTACTGGCGCAGGGGGGGCACAGCGCCCCCCGCCACCTCGCACAGCTGGGCAAGAAATGTGTTAGTAGTGATGTGTTAAGAATGATGTGTTAATAGTATGTGTTAATAGTAATGTCTTAGTAGTGATGTGTTAATTGTAATGTGTTAATAGTAGTGTGATAATAATGATGTATGTATAGAAGAGTGATGTAATCGTCGCACAGCTGGTAATAATAATTAGAAACTAGGAATGTAGCAGCTGTGTCGATACGAGGATTTTATGAAGATTTGAACGTATATATATGACCGCTGATTACTTTTCATTTGACAGAGTATTGGATTCAGTACCAAATAATGCAGACCAATTTTCTTGCAAAACAGCTAAATAACAGGAGTAATTCAAAACTGATGATAATTATTGCAATGCATACTTGATTATATATTTCAAACCATTGATATCGTGTACGTACCGATTCATCTTGCCATGTGCAGCGATCACGTACGTCACACGTCATCTAATATCACGTCACACTATTCTATTACTCTGTCATGAACAGCGATCACGTCACACGTCAACTAATATCACGTCACACTATTCTATCGCTCTGTCATGTACAGCGATCACGTCACACGTCATCCAATATCACGCCTATCGTCTCAACTGTTCGTCACTGAACTGCAAGCAATCACAAGTCGTCTCTATTTTTACGCGCGCGCGACTGATGAATGTCAGCAACGGCCGCTCGTTTGACATCAAAGCCTGGCAGTTATTCTCTCAATAAAACTCAAGCACACAATTAAAACAGAGGCGCCTCGACTTGATGGAGCTTCTTATGGAGTTTATGGATGAACAAGATGGAGCGCTTATGGAGTTTATGGATGAACAAGATGGAGTTTATGTAGTTTATGGATGAACAAGATGGAGCTTCTTATGGAGTTTATGGATGAACAAGATGGGGCGCTTATGTAGTTTATGGATGAACAAGATGGGGCGCTTATGGAGTTTATGGATGAACAAGATGAAGCGCTTATGGAGTTTATGGATAAGCAAGATATGGAGCGCTTATGGAGTTCATGGAGCAGGATTTCGCCTACTCCCGACGATTAGGCAGTTGGGACATGATTTGGAGCAACGTCGTGGCGTCAGTGGAGTCACACGACGTACTCAAGTGTTACGTTACATTAAAAAATAAATGACGATAAATTAACTTTGGGTAGAGTTTGGAATTTGAACAAATAAATTTGAAAAAATACAACTCAGTACTCACAGCAGTGAGTGACAGAGAGCGCATTTTCTCGTCGACGAAAACTTGAGGTCACGGACGGACAGACGGACAGACAGACAGACGGACATGGCGAGCACAAAAGTGCATTTCTTCCATAAATGAGAAAATGCGCTAAAAATAGCGTGGCTTTGAAATAGATGTGAAATTTCAATAGCATCATAAAAAAAATAAGTCACTAAGATTTCGATAGTTTTCGTCGTTCTGTGGTAGCAGAGAATATTAATAACTAACAGGTTCCTAAATTCTACGTGCTACAGTACAATTATTGATGTTAAACTATGATGCACTAAGAATGATGTCTACTCTTAAAATTTTTCACCATTCTATTGTAGCACGGAATATTATTCACTAACGTATCTCTATATTTTACGTCATTCAATCGTATCATAGGATATTAATCACTATCATGTCTACAAAAAAAATTAATTACATCATTAAAGCGATTTCGCGCTAAAAAAACATGAAAAATGACGATCCTATGACGCTTGACAGCTGTGACATTTCTGTTCTTGCGAGGTCGTGTGAGGTTTTCCGCAATGTCAACAATTTTAAGCTTAATCCCTACGCAATTTATACATAAATCAATCAATAAACTTTATCATAAACCCCTTTTTGAATGGCCTGGTAAAAATTTTTGGATTTTACACGATTGATCTAATAGTCACGCAAGTCCAAATATCAAAATTTTTGAGTTGAGGGACCTTAACTCAAGGGTTAAGGGTCGAGTTGAGAAACCTTAATGTTGAAAAATATTTTCAATATTTAAATACCATTTTCTTTGACAATCTAGCTTATATGTTTTTTGTTTAAAATCAGCAACCTGTGTCCTCACCTGACATAAGGCGCTCCTTCTGCCGTAGTGAGGCTGTACCTCGTAGAACTTCTTCCACCTGCATCAGAATGGAATAAATTTACGGGTCAAGAGAGAAATATTTCGTGTAATAACCATGTACCCGTAATTATCTAATTTATATAACTATAATCCGGGCTTTTTAAGTGCCGAAGCACTTTTTACCAACCTCCCGTAGCAATAACTCATGGATGTCTACTCCGGTTGAAAGCATAAGAGAACTAAGAATTATTTCGGAAAAACTCACTACTTGATAGGAATGGCATTTTAAAAAAGCAGCTCATGTACATGAGATTCTTATACTCCTCATTTATATACTGAATGAGTATGACATGAAATACAGACCTAAAACCGCATTAATTTTCACCTGAAATAAGCGTTGTATGCGGTGGCGTTAGCGTTGAGATACAAGAGGTGCTTTGCCAACGTCGCGATGTCCGGGAAATCCAGTGCGTCGACGTACGCGTCACGTGGAGCACCCGTTAGCTCGTGCCCCAAGCCGTACGTCACGGGCACTACGTCGTACCTCAGCAATCAATGATTACGTTATGTATGATATCAACATAAAATATTATAAAGTACAGGTTAATTTTCGATTACCTTTTTATAATGACAACATAATTTTGCGGCGCATTTTGCTCTTTCGGTTAATAGCTGGTCACAGAGCTCCTTATTTTTCGATAAATTTCTAGTAAGAGAATTCGAAGAAATGCTTTTCTGACAATTCAATTCATTCGAAATGCATTCAACTATGCATTCCATGCAATTAATTTTCATTGCATTCTAGTATATGTAAAGCCTCTGCCCTTACTTAAGGATGTTGTAGAATTTCTCTGTGACGTAATGATTGCACAGGGAATTCTCGAAGGACAAATAAAATTTGTAGTTTCGGTGCAGCATTTCGTAGCATCGCGCGTCCTGCGCAGGCGCACATGTAGCGTTGCCGCAGCCTCCGAAGATGTCGACCTCGACGCCGTGTCGCCGCAGCGCCATCGCCAGCCTGACGAAATCAAACATTGTTTGAATTTAAAAATATATATATATAGTGTTACTACTAAAATTATTGTTAGATTTTTAACTACTTGTTAATCCTTTACTAACGCCAGGTATGCCCCTCGCCGATTCTCCACCACCCGGCCACCATGCCGAAGTCGACCAGAATCTTTACAACTAGTTGCGAGTTTTGAACCCCCAAATAAATGCTCTAATATTGGAGATCTTAACCACTCGGTAAGCCCAAGACATTTTTTAGCGCAAAATTTTGGCTAGATATATCAGGAATATTTGACTCTCACAGACAAGATGCCTTATTCCTTTAAGTTGGAATGCCAGATCAGATAGTAACAGACAAATTAGTTTCCATTGGGATATCATACCATATGACTTGATTTAAACATCCTGCAGCTTTGGAGTTTATAGTCAATAGGCTCAAAAGTAGACACGAGATATTATTTAACGTGAAACTTTCAATGCCACTATGCTCTACTAATACTATTTGCATAAGCCGTAACTGCAGCTCGTAACTTAAGATGCGCCGCAGTTAAAGAGCATCAATAATTTCTAATTTTTTACCTTCCCAGCCGCGCTACAGAACAATTGTTATAAATATTATTGTATGTAGGTGTCATCTCTCACTTCATTCGGCCACTGGGAGCGTCATGACAGTTGGAGACGAACCAGGCGGCCATCTTTGTTTTGGAGCTGGCGAGGGGTAGCGGTGTTACATCTCCTGTTGTGGGCGTCCAAGAACGAGGCACCACGGAGCCTCTCCTGGCAACAATATTCAAGTTAAATTATTAATTGAAAATTATATGCCGGTACTTACTTATTAACTACCCAGACCGGTGTTAATATTGTTATTATACATTTTTTACTACATTTCACACTTATTTCATATCCTGTTTATAGTTTGCAAATTAATGTGCCATTCGCACAGATCAGGTCCCTTTTATAAGGATTTAATTTTATATCTCAAATCACTATTACTAATAACATTACTCCTAAATCACAAGTCACCCTTACTCGCACAAAACAAGCACACTCACATTACGATTTTTACTTTAATTCGGTGCTATGGCCGAACAAATATTTATTCCAGAGCTCTCATCGCGTTATTTGATCCCAAAACCCAAGTCTCTGAAGAAGGTTAGGCTATGTTAGGCTAGGGTAAGTTATGTTAGGCTGGGGTTAGTTATGTTAGGCTAGGGTAAATTAGGCTAGGGGTTAGGCTAGGGTAGGTTTGGTATGAGAGTGAAAATTCCTGACGTTTTAACGATGTCTGAGTCACGCCGGTAGCCGAAAGTGTAGTCGATGAGGCCGTCGAAAGCATGGAAGTTGCCTGGATGCCTGATGGGCGCCTCTCCTGTCTGCAGGATCATTTTTGCGTTCACGAACCTGGAGAAAAGTAAAATTAAATATTCATATATGATGTTGGAATAATCGTCATCTTTTATGACCTGACTATTAATTGTGTTTAAAAATTCCGTTGACATCCCGCAATCTTTTTGAACAGTTTATTATCAACTTACAAAGATCCATAAACTAATTTGCTGCGAATTTATCAATGACTCTAAATGGCAAATTTCTGTATTTAAAGCCCACTTCGATAAATAAAGGTCGTCCATTTTCCTAACGATTGAATTTCCTGCTGTGGCTAGAAAGCTAATGACACAATCGAGACCAAAACACGTCATGTCATAGGCCAAAAATTCAACCTTCCCACTACAATCGTCCGATCATAGTTCGGAGTCCGCTCCGATGACACGACTCATCTGCTTACAAGGGGCTGCAGTTGGCATGCATTTGATTTCAATGTACCTTCAAGGGCTGCAGTTGGCATACATTTGATTACAAATATGAAATTAACTTCGTGCTAAATAATTTTTTGTCAATCTCTTTACGATTTGTCTCACTCGCGCTTGGAAGGAAGCTTGACAGGACGAGGAGATCTGAGGAGCCACCAAGAGTGCAAGACGATGGCGTGCACGTCATCGGGTCTGACGAGGCTGCGGTCAGCGATCACCCGACAGTTGCTCACCGGACACTGATTTTCCTGGAAGAACTCTGGGCCTCGGGTGTACACTGGTGGGTCCTTCTGTGAGAGGCACACGAGGGATTGCAAATAAAATTTCAAGATGAATCCTCGTCTAAAAAAAGCTTACCCGGCATTAGATGAAATGTTTAAAAATAAGGAATAATTATAGTAAAGCATCCAGTAAGGATACAAATGAGATAGCAGAATGCGTATCTTTCGATAGGAAACCAGAATTGAAAGGACATTAAGAATATAAATCGGTTCTTACTTCGACCCAATACAAAATGTTTTTGATGTGCTGTTGGTCACGTGGGGCTGGCGAGTCGTGTTGTGAAACAAGCCATGCGGTGGTCTGCTTTTGGTTCAGAAGGGTGAAATTTAATGAATCCCTCGCCGCTTTAGCCACCCTGCAACAGTACATTAAGAATATGTATGGAATGCAGATAAAAATTTTATAAGCAAAACTAAATATCGTCCTTCACCACTTGAAATTTCCTTAAAAAGTCAGTTAAAGGAATAAAAAATTGCCTTCAAACTCACAGTGTTTCAAAACTATAAGTCATTTATCATCCAGTAAAAATTACAACTCAACGGCTAGACACTGTAAAGTTCAAAAGGTTCATTTTCTTTTAACCCCATTCCCGTCAAAGAGAATCAACTCCATAGAGATTAACACCCTGAGGTGAAAATAGATAAACATAGTTTATCAAAACTCACCTCAGTTTTAACGCACAGGATTGCGCCACTGAAAGAGTTGCATTTGTCTTGTCACCAGCACAATTGACGTATTTATCTGTAAACGCTTCCTCTCGTTCTCGCACATCGTCAGCAAAATTTTGCTGCTGCGTGCGAGATGTTTTGGATTGCCAAGCTTCGGAATTATCGAAAACCTCTGCGTCGCTTACTGCAGCAATGTCTTCAGTGGTGTTGTCGTGGAGCGAGCGGCGTTGTTCAGACCTGATCGCTGGATCGCGCATTCCTGCATTGAATTTTGCCGTGTTCTCAAATTCATTATTCAGCGAAATTGGAGTAGTAGCGCTTGAATTAGAGCTCGTAAATCCTTTTTCTTCAGACACTTTTGTTATTGATAGTGAAGAATTAATGACACTTTCACTGTCGTTTGAAAAACTAGTAACGATTTCAAAATTTCCGTTCCATGTGGTTTCCAGTAATTTATTCTCGGTAATCGACGTCGCTGCTTTTGTCGTATGCTTGGAAGTGAAAGAAAAAGATTTAGCATCTGATATCTTTACTGTGCCTGGGCCAGTTGCGACGCTTTCAGTGGGATGAGAAGTATCGTAGAAATATTCCGGTTGGGTTTCTTTCGTAGTATCTTCAAAATTCCGGGTAAAATATTTGTTCCATTGAAATGTCGTTAACTGAGACAGAAATTTTACAGGTTCAGTACCATCCCGTTCATAATAATTATAATTATCTTGCAGATGTGTTGTGTAGGGTGTCCATGCGGTTGTTACAGCATGGGTAGTTTTCGACGCCAGCGACGTCGTTGTAGCGGATGACTCGTATGTAAGAATGGAAGCAGTGACATCGAAAGGGAAGTCTGTTAGTTCGGACGTACCTTCAAAAGTTGTGAAGCTGGAAGTATATTGCTCTCCATTTTCATAACGAGTCACTTCTTCAGAAGAATAATCGTCACTTTCCCAGCCATGATTAGTAAAAAATGAATGTGATTCTGCGTTGTTTGCAGGCTTTCCGGTATTGTTTAATAAAGCTTCAATAAATTTATAAAGTTTGACTCCTTCTTGTTTGAGAAGTGATTCGGCCGATAGAAGAGGACTCGATAAGTTTCCCAGTGAACTGCTGACTTCATCACTAGCGCTCCTCGAGGTGTCAACTTGACTCACTTGTGAAAGTGTTGTGTGTTCTGATGACGAGTGTCCTCGGTCGGCTGAGGGTATTTGCAGTCCACTGGGTGTAATTCCATTGTACTCGTAGCAAGTTATGTTCCAACCTGAGGAAGTGCAGAGCCAGGGGGCGCTGCCCCCCAGTCGGTAGACCACAAGAAGCAAGGTACTCAGAAGCACGGCCAACAGCAACAAACCCCCCTGACAATCAAACGGAGGTTATGAGTCTAGGCTCTAAATACAGGAAAATGCAACATGAGAACGGGTCCATTTGAAATTTTTTAGTTAAACTTATCTTATTGTTTTAGAACTTAATTGTCTACTAAAGTAACGTCCAAGTAGTAATTTTTGCACCGTACGGCCCGCATAAAGAGACCTTGAGCAGGGGACCATTTCAGAGTCATGTTCGGGATACCATTTGAATTGCAATCAAATTTTAAAAAAATGGACAATAAAAATTATTTCTAATACCATTAAAATAAAATCTTGGCAAAATGTTTAGTCAACTTCAATTTTGAATGTAAATTAGAAACATTTTTCTTGAACGATAAGAAATCTGATCATACAGTACATTCACGCAGGACAATCTGAACTCGTACGAGGAGAGACCCAAAAAACCGGACTGCCTGAATGGTGGGCGAGGTTTTGGTAGCACCGCATTCTCCCAGCATGTGCTCATGCAACTAATATTCATCACTTAGTTTGCTAAGCGTTTCTGCCTGGAAGGCCGTCTTCATTATTGCAAATATTTTTGTGACGTGCTTCGTTTACGCACTCATCGTTTTTTATGATTTTCTTGAGCAACTTGCTGCAATCAAATTTAGCTTTCTCCTGTGAAAAATTGCAGAGGAAATGCTACAGACAGCCCACAATGATGATGCTACGGTGAGAACGCAAGTTATTGAGTAGTTTTCCCGCTTCAAAAGGGGAAATTTCAATTGACGACCAACCTCTCTCAGGTCGTCCTTCCACTCAACACCCTGAAGAGAATGTTGCGAAAATAAGGGACCTAATCCCTGAAGATCGACGTTGAATTATTGACGAACTTGCGGAACTGTCTCAAGTAACTTGGAGTTCACTCCAGCAAATTCTTAAAGAAGAATTTGAATGAATAAATGATTTTTAAAAAATCTGTCCGGTTCTTTTGGGTCCCCCTCGTATAGGTGTGTTATCGGTTTATACAAACTATTTTTTGCAGAGGCAGACATATAATTAAATCAAGATATTTGTAAGGAAGTGTTCTGTGCATTTTTAGCCGAGAGGCAATTTGCAGAATGGTACTTAGTTAGATTATGAGGCAGTACGTAAAAGAACAAAGGTAGATTATGAGGGCAGTAGAAGAACGAAGGTAGATTATGAGGGCAGTAGAAGAACGAAGGTAGATTATGAGGGCAGTAGAAGAACGAAGGTAGATTATGAGGGCAGTAGAAGAACGA